GATTTCAATTTTGTTTGTTACTCCAAATTTTGACATTGCAAGCTTTAAGTAAAGATCGGTTTTAGGGGTTTTTTATTTACAATTTTCCTCAGATGATTGTTTGATTGATTTTGTTGGGTCACCTATTGATTTGGTGATGACCCACTGATCTGTTCCTCTACCTTAGCAACACTTAGTAGTTATTGGTTCTTTGTAAGTTGGTGTCTTGGTACATACTTAAAGCCATTGGCAAAATCGAAGACTAGCCGATGTGAAGACCGAAGGTCACCGATGCGGTGTTGTGGATCAACTGTCTAATATACACACCAAGACTCCGAAGTAGCTGAAATGCATATTGAAAATATTTTGAAGCTACAAGCCGATTGAAGGAAGATCTTCATAGACCGAAGATTGAAAATCTTCATGGACTCAAGATTGAAGGAAAATCTTCATAGACCGAAGATTGAAAATCTTCATGGACTCAAGATTGAAGATCATGGACCGAAGATTGAAAATCTCCATGGACCGAAGACTTGTGTGTAGCTGCTTGAAGCTTCATATCCATCCAAAGGAGATCTTCCTACAGACTGACCATATCTCTGCAAGGTTTGTCTCTGCATGAACTGTGCAAGTTTGTCTCTGCATGAACTGTGTTGTATGCATGCAGTGTACGATGAAAATGAGATATCAACATTGGTCAGGTCAACCCCTGCCTTCTTATCCTCAAGTGACAAGTGTCCCCATGCATTAAATGCTGAAGGCAGTATAAAAAGGCAGTGTGCATCTCTCATGCATACACTTGGCTTTTGAAAGATTACTCAGTGCACTCTTAAAGCAATCGGCTATTTCCTTCTACTCCCTTGCTCTCCTGTGTGTGAAGAGATTCTTAGTGTTATTCATTTCCTTTCAAGAACTCTCTGTGTTGTTCTTGAAAGTTCTTCTCTTTGTAAGATTGTTTAGGTTAGGTTTTCCTTTCCTATCTTCCGCAACAATCTTTTGTATTTTTATGTGTATTAATTCTTGATATAAATCAATAAGAATTAAAAAGTTGAAAAAAGTCTGAGTAATTGTATTCAACCCCCCCTTCTACAATTACTTTCTGTTTATTGCCTTACCCTTCGGGACTAACAGATTTCAATTTTTATGTGTATATGGCTATATGGCATGATTCTAACGAGGACGATGATATGTATGTGTAAATGTTGCTAATACGTGCAAAACCCTAATGGAAAAATTGATGTGAAAATTTACCAAGAATCATATAAAATGATCAATGAATTTAGAAACAAAAAAACAAGGTTTAAAGCAAAGTGGGAGGTCATTTTTGCTGTTGATTTCAAATTCATTCCAATCCAAATCCCTCCATGAAATCTAAATCCCTTAAAAAAACATGCAAACCAGACGGACCTTAAGGATACATATAAGTAGGGTTTTGATTCAAAAGGAATTAAAACTTAGGTCTTGTTTGTTTGTTCAATTTTCAGCTCTTAATTACCACTTATGTCTGATTCGTTCAGACTGTTTGTTTTTTATTTTTATTTTCAGAGACTCTTATAACTTAATAGGGTCAGAATAAATAAGAGGTAAACTAATATATTAATTCATCTTATTTTCCCTTTTATTTGATTCTCTTTGGCTATTAATTCTTTTTTCATCAGGGATGCCACCATCTTTTCATCATCCATATGAAACGCACGCCCCCACCTTTTCTCTCTCTCTCTCTCTCTCTCTCTCTCTCTACATATGTATAATTTTTGTACGTATAAGTTAACTTATAAGATTAATGTGAAACAAGAACTTTTATCGGCGATATATCCTCTATCAAAGTATCGATCTTTCCACAAACAAACTCACCGGCGGCATCCCCGATAGCATCGGAAGTCTGAAAATATCCAAAAGGTTCTTACTGTGTTTCATATGTTAAACAACTGTTGAGATTAACTTCGACAATGAAAATTTTATGAAAATCAAGAAGATTTTGTAAAATGTTTGCACCTTTTACAAAAACAAACTATTGATTCAAATTCCAGACTTCATGCGTTTGTCAGTTTACAAAAATAAACATTCTTACTAATTCAAATTTCAGACTTCAACACCACCTCTTATTAATCAGAAGTGAAATAAGACTTTAGACTTCAACACACTTTAAAAAACAAACACCACATTAGTAATTTTTTTTTGTCCATGGTTAATTCCAATGGAATTGAAAGTAGTGGAATTCACTTGTTAAACACAACCAAAGAATGTCAAATTCCTTTAATCAAATGGAATTCACCATTCCAGCAAAATTTAAATTCGTGAAAATTTTGAACCAAACAGAATATGGAATCTGGTCAAATGAAATTTGTAACATCATTCCACTGAGATTCGTTACATATCTTGACATTTCAGTAATGATTCAAAAATAGTTATTTGGTATATGGATTCTTCTTTTTAGTTTTTATGAATCAACACAATCCTAAAGTCTATCGTACGGTGTAAGATATTTTGGTTTACGTTTGTCTTTGTCTCACACGATGTCCACCACAAAACGGAATCAGATGCTATAACAATTTGGCTTAGATTATGGTTTTTTTATTTTTTTTCCGCTACATTCAACATCTTATTTTTCTTTATATTATTCTGATTTCATTTTCGTGTTTTTCAATTTGTTAGGAATTTCTTACTGGTCTTGTTTTTAGATTTACTTACCATTGGTACTCATTCTGCTGGTAAGTTAAAAAGAACAAATCATGTCACTACTCAAGCTGCTTTTTTAAAGGAACTTGAAAAAGATAAGGCTAAAGAAGAACTACTAAAAGTAGAGGAGATAAAATGGTGCAGACTGGAAGTTGATCAATTCCTCAAAAAGGCTAAGATCACTGGTGTCAGTTTTGTTGGAAGAACTAAAGAGAGAGAACTCCTGATAAGCCTGAATATCTTCAGAGATGATCGTACAAACATCACTGACTATCCCACCTTCCTTCACAGGTATGTATACTTTGAATGGCTTGGGATTCATGATGGAATTCAGATATCCAAATCTGAACATAACGGGATAGTTGAGGAAGTACTGAAGCTACTTCTTGACATAATGAAATACATCATCAATGTTCCTGCAGCGACCTCTTCCTTGTCGGATCGGTATCTTGTATATCAAGTTGTTTGTCTTATCTTCTCTTGCACAAGTCAAAACCCTATGCTTCTCTCTAATAGAAGGTACGGTATGATATGTTTTATTGTCTCCTTCATGCTCACCAACCCACTGAAGCACTGTTCAAATGAGGCGAAATGGCGTAAATAGTTGAAAAGACTCTCATTCTCACTACTGTTCTCTCTCTGTCTTTACCTTATTCTTATTTTTTTGTAATCTGTGCAAGAAAACTTTGTGATTTCTAGTTTGTTCTTTAGAGATTCTTAGTGCTCTAAGATCAAAGTAAGATTGTGTTAGATTATGGTTGCTCCTTTTTTTATTCAGCAACAATTTGTATCGTATGTATTGATTCTTTTTATAATTAACAAACGAATTTAAAAGAGCTGTGTTTGTATTCTTGTTAACTTGGGACCAAAAGCTATAAAAATTTAAACTTGTAATATAAAAACCAAATTTATTAAAAGTTTATGGAATCAAAAAGCTCTCGGTCCGCCAATGATCGTCCATATGTTTATAATTCACTGTTGTTTATTTCCCTAATCCTTAAGGATGTGTTTGGTATATGGGACTAGATGTAGTGTTTGGTATGCAGACTGGATGAAACATGATAAGATAGGACTAATTGTATGTCCTATGTTTAGTATGACTAGTTAAGGACAAGACAAAACTGTTAAAATAACCATATTACCCCTAAATGTTGTTCAATATTATTTTATATCATATAATGTGTAAATGACAACAAAGCAACCAAAATATATTTAAATTATTTAATCTATAATATCAATATTTTTTTAACAATCCAAGACCACATGTAAATAACATTCGTAATACCACAAATTCTAAACATTGAATGAAATTTCAAAGGTAAAACATGGGAAAAGGAGTTGCCCTTTTTGCATATAGGATTTGGAACAAAATTGAATTTCATTATTTATATATAATTTATAAAAATAATTGAATTACATTTTTATTAATTGATTATTACAAAACACATGTTCTTAACATTTTTAAAACCTTATTGCATGCAATCCTACGAAAATCTCGTGAAATCCCGAACCCTTCATGAGGATTTCAAAATCCTATGCTTGAAGGATTTCAATTAAATCTTAGGATTTCAAATCCGGACAATCCAACAAACCAAACATGAAATTGGAATGGATTGAGATGCAAATCCCCCCAAATCCATTTCATTCCTAAAAACCAAACGGGACCTAATTGCTCCGAGTTGTTTTGATTTTTTACGGCAACTACACTCCATCTTTGTCAATTACATTTTGCTAGAATGTGTTGCTTCACCTTCGTCAATTGCTAAATACAACAAGTTATCTCATGTTGCAACCGCTAAAGACGTTGCTTCATCTTTGCTATTGTATAACCAGTGGTGACAAATACGTCTCCTCTTATATACAGTTGTGAAAGTTTTTGAATACAAAAAATACATATAATTGAAGACGTTAAGAAAATATGCTATAAATTCATAAACAAAAAAACGTCGGCACAAAAAGTTCACATCAAGAACTTCTAAAACTTCATATTTAGGTAACCGTTAGTTTCCGAGCCAGCTTACGTGCACCAACTAATCTTTTAGACAACCATAAATGGCATTGAGTCATTACAGATGAACCTCCATGGCCACAAGGACTTTGCCAGCGCTTGGGTTCGAATCTAGGGTAAATGAGATTTTCCACTACATCTCTTTGAGGTTTAATCAGTGTGCCCGAACGGCAAACCCAAGCGGTTAAAAGAACTAAAACTTGAAATTTTAAAAAAATGTCAAAAATTATTATTATAAGGGTTAAAAATAACAATAATTAACCTGGAAGGGGTAAACTGTAAAATAGTTTTATATACATCTTTAAAAACAGATAATCACTTTCATCTCTCACAAAATCGATTTCCCACACGATTCACAGCGACAGCGATAATTATCAAATCCATGGCTCGTTTCCTCTCACAAACCCTAATTCGAACGACATCGTCGGCATCGAATTCCTTGCAGACGTTCAAATTAGGTATATCGATGGAGCATCGGTTTTCTAGCCAATCGGGAAAAGCACAATTGATCGAGGTCGATCTTGAATCTGATGGCGAGGTGGAGGTTTTAGGGCTAAGAAAGCTTGAAGATGCTATCCACAGTATCATCGTGAGGCAATCGGCGCCTGATTGGCTTCCTTTCGTTCCCGGTTCATCTTACTGGGTCCCTCCTCGCCGTCATCGGCCTGATTCTCTGGGCATGATTAATGTGCTCAGAAAGTTTAGAAGACGGTCGAGGGATGCAGAGACAGAAGAGTCCATGGCTGTTTCTTCGTCACGTGGCTGGCCTTCTTCCGCTTATTTCTTTGAAGGTATCGAATGATGTTTTACTTAATTTGATTAAAGATGAAGCGGGGATCTGATAATTAGGCTGTCTATATTCGTTAATATGAAATTTGAGCCGGAAAGAAGTAAGACGTTATTATCCATGGTTAGATGGCTTTTGGGGACACGGATTGGGTATTTGGAATTAGAGCTGGTAATCTAGTAGCTCAAGATATAAATTGACACTGACGAAATCGCAAGTCTTGAGATCTTGAAAGCTATGACTCTTAGTTTAAATATCATCATTGGGAACAACTTCAACTTGAAAATATCTATTTATGATCACTTCAGATGTGTGTTACAGGTGCCTTTTGAAGTACCCATGTCCATGTATGCTCAAGTATTGAATCTGAATACGAAATCAATAAAGCATCTCAGCTTTTTGAAGCATCCTTTCTTTCTTTGTCTCACTTTTCATCTGATCTTAGAGTTTGATTACTTTGTCTCCCACCTCATTCCCATTCTACCTCTAAATTGTAGCTTTTATATTGCCCAAAACTGTATGTGCCACAAAAGAGGTTTTTTTTATCAGTATTAAGATTTTCTTCCCATGATTATTACACAAACAAATAAGATGGTTGATATAAAACGATTGTATTGAGATTTTCTTTCCATGATTATTACACAAACACAATAGCAATCACCATCTATGGTGTATCTTCCTTATTGAGTTCGATTGATGTTGCTTAGTGCTGAAAGTTGCTTCAAACATGCCAACCTAACATTCACATTTGATTATGTGATTACCACTCTTATACCCTTATGTCCTCCCCTAATCAAACTTAGGCCTTTTAGCCAACATACAGACCCGTTCTTGACATTTGACAGGCCCAGGGGTCGTAAAAACAAGGGTCCTCTATAAGTACGGAAAAATCTCAAACAAATGTTTATATTATCAAAAACAAAATTGGATACAAGAAATACAGATAATTCATGCAATTATACAAATCGATTCAGTTGGGTATTTATAGACATAAAATCAATAATAATAGTTTCTAAATCAATATTGTCTTGCATATCATTTTCAATGCATAACATCATACAACATCAAAAGACATCCTATGATTAGGGATGTACAACCCGCTATACCGTTAATTAAGAGTGTTGAATTGGGTGAGCCTAGCTCAACCCAACCCACCAACTCGCTGCTAATATGTTGTAACTTCGATAAATTTTTATTTATATCCCTGTATAATATACTAGTCTATTATATATATTATAACTATTATAAAATATATATATATATATATATTAATAATGCGTAAAATTTTGTATAATGTTTGTATTTCCCTTTAGCTATCTGTATAGGTTACCAAAAGAGATTTACCACCAAAGAATGATGGCAAAGAATCTAATAGGAGAAAACTATTGGAATCGTTTTTGCAGCAACAACAAATGGATGTGTTGGATGATATGAATAAAGCTTATAGATGGATAGTTGATGAATCTATTAATCCGAAAGTCTCTCATTTGATGTTGTTCTTTGGTGGAAAGAAAATGCTAATAGTTATAGCATTCTACTAGAACACCATTAGGTTTATAGGATGCCTAAAATGAGCGTAATATTATGACATTTTATAGGGACTTAAGTTTATAGGACGAAACAAAAAAGCGTCATATCTAAAAGTGTTACAATATGTTTATAAGACGCTTTTGATTGTCTTAACAAGTTTTTAGGATGCTTTTAAAATAAAGTGTCGTATTAGTTGTGTTAGTTATTTTATGACACTATTTGAAAAAGTGCCATGTGAACACACAAGTGTCCTATAACTAGATGAGTTTATCGGACACTTCTCAAAATTGTTTTGTAAAATAGTTAATACGACTCTTTATTTAAAAAACCGTCCTAAAAAACTTGTTGAAACGCCCAAAAGCATCGTATAAACCTATTGTAACACTTTTAGATAGGATGGTTTATAGTTTGGTCATATAAACTTAAGTCCTATAAAGTATTTCATTCATCAAGTTTATGTAACTACTAACCCGCCAACCCGTCCCGACGCTCAAGGGTTATACTTTTGAATTGGTTGGGTTGGGTTGAGATTTTTCCGAACCGCCATAATTGGGTTGGGTTATATAAAGTCGTAAACCGCCCAACCTAACGTGCATACACCCTTACCTATGATACATCTATCTCCTGTATATAGACTGGCATCCTATATACTTGGTTGACCATTAGAGTAACACTTTGTGTGAAATAACATAAATCACTTAGGTTTCTATCCCATCTACATGTTAATGCTGACCGTTAGAGTAACACTTTGTGTGAAGTAACATAAATCACGTGGCCTTCTATCTCATCCACATGTTAATGTTTTCACGGATTTTGAACTTTTAGGGTTAAAACAAACTTTTTCGAAATCATACATTTCATAATCAAAAGTCCATATTGGTTATATCTTGTGATCATATTCTTGTTTTTATTTAGATATGACTTGTGAGAGTACTTAAGATTAAGGTACTCCATATCAGGTAATTAGGAGTCTAAGTATGTATACAAAAACAATGGTAGTTTGGAAGCCTAAGTATAGATGTTAGAGTACCAACTATAAAAGCAGAAACATGTAGCAATAACCAACAGAAGTATTTACACAAACAAAAGAAGCAAATAACAATAACCAATTGAAGCCGAAACAGTCAAACGAACAAACAAAAGAAGCAATCAAGCAACACAACAGAAGAAGCGAAAACAAATAGAAATAGCTAATATAAGAAGTAGATAACAATAGCCAACAGAAGTAGTCAAGCAAATAACAGAAGAAACAGAAACAAACAGAAATAGCCGATAGACGAATAAGTATATAGAAATATCCAACAAAGTAGATAATAGCAGACTTAGGAGCTTAAAGGTAAGCAGATAAAGATAGCAATTGCCAATAGCCTTGGACCTTGGTACTAGATAAAAGAAACTTAGAGAAGCAATAAGCAATAACAGAAATTGCATGGTCATTGAACTTGATAGGTTTTCTTCTCCAATGTAAATAATTAATAATTTTTTTGGGGCCTTGTCTAAATTCTTTTTTAACTTCTTTCATTTACTATTTTCTGGCTCCAGTTATATGGTAAAAACACTTTATCTACTAGTTTTTTGTACTACTATTATACTAAAAAGCATTTGGACCCTGAGCAGCTGCCTGTTTCTCCCCCTCCTGGGCCCTGTCAACACGTGTGGCCCCTTTAGTATCAATGGCACCTCCAGTATTCAAACCCAAAACCTGTTAAACCAAGGTCCCAAGTCTACCCACCTTGCTTACCCCTTGGCATTAATCAATGTGTTCGTTGACTATGTTATACAACAGTAAAAGGATAGGAGGTGGAATGATCTCGTGGTTAGTTGCTTAAGTGGATGCATATTTTATAAAAGATATAACATATGACCATCTTAAGATTACGTAAACATATTAGACTTAAAGTTTTGATAAAGTACTATTTTTGACGCAAGTACTTTCCTAAATGTCTTGTCTTGTTCTGTTTAAAGAAGAAATTGAAAAAAATCCCCTCTGAAACGGGAGATGAACTCCTTCGATTCCAATGACATAATTTAGAAGAATAGAGATGAGGAGAGAAAGATAGAGAGATGAAGTTCTTGCTTATATCTTGAATGAATCTCTTACAAGAGTAAGAGGCTCTATTTATAGTCATTTTCAACTAACTTCTAACTTCCTTCTGATTAACCAAGCTAACCTTCATAACACCCTCCAAGTTGAAAGAAGCTGATTGACCCTTAAATTTGTTGAAACTTTTAATCCAACGAATAGTTGCTAATCAGAGATTTAGGTTATGCTTGACTCTTATATGTCTAATTAAGCGGCCCTAACTGATCGAAGCGGTGGGGGACGTTTAACATGTAACTGGCCACTTAATTGGATCTAGGTAGGGATTTATGTAACAGTGTTCCTCAACTAGCATAGACATCTGATCAAAGTATAAATTATTTTATTGTATATTAGCGTCACCTTATGTTCTAATCCCTTCTTCATTTGTCCATGTTCTTCCTTATTGTGTCCGATATAATTTACATCTACTTGGTCATGATTCATTAGGATAGTCATTTCCATTTAGACTTCTATTAATCTCTCTAACAGGGTAAAGAGTAACACCTGTTGGAAAAAATGTAATAAATGACCAAGTTGGTTACAGATAATTGGCATGATACATTTCGTAGGTAAGAATGTTGTTGATAAGTCACTGCCTGGGTTTCCATGCTGCTAGGGGGATGCAGTGATGTGATCTCACTTCATGTGGTAGATTAAGGATACTAAGATTTGTGGATTAAAGGCACCATATTCATGTATGCCTTGGATACCAATCGAGTTGCAGAAATGTGAGGTAGGGGGACCTGGTTTCAAATTTCAACAGCTTTTATCTGTCATCCGTCTTACCGATTTCTGACAATTTTCTTTAGAGATCACTGTCTCACTGTTGTCTGATGGAGAGAAGAGAAAGGAAGTTGGGCGGAAGAGGGAGAGGGATCATAGAAAAGCAGAATACAGTGGATATTTTTGAAGGGGGTGGGGTAGGGTGGGAATAGGAAATTGTGGAAGAAAACTTCCAGGAGTAAGAAGTTGGTTGAGAGTAAGAGAGCTGCAGGAGAGTGAGGGAAAAAAGGGAAAACAGAGAGAAAGGATTCCGAGGGTACCAGGGAGATAGATAATAAATAAGAAGGAAAAACAAAGAAAGGAAAAGCAAGTTGTATTGTTTTAATAACTGATTGGAGCAAGTGTTATACCAACTTATTCTTTGACTGGGTTGGGATATAAAGGGTCTTAATTCAGAAGATACAAATCCTCTAATGCAGTATTCTTGCTGCCTTATTTATTATTGACTTCTCCGTCCATTACATCAAATTTATTATAGGGAGAGGAGAGGAAAGATGGCAGCAAGCCGTGCTAAATAACAGGCTGCAGCCATGTGTATTCTCTATATATGAAATAGGATGACTTGATTATATCTTGTTACTAAATAAGACAGTTGAGCGCAAACTGCTGCCCCATCCCAAGAAATTTTGGAAGGTGGTGAGATTTGCTTACTAAATTGGAGCGCTAAATTTGGTGCTATGTAGGGGAGGTAATGTTGGAAGGATGTAGAATAGCAGAGAAAATGGTATTGGAACGACAGATGGTACTTTGCTTTTGTCTAGTTCACACTCCAAAACGGAATTCCCACCAAAAGAGAGATTAAAAACATACATTAACAAGTCTTGGCGACAGAATAGAGTGATATGCATCTGATGCAGTGGTCAAAAGTAACACTGTGCTCTGTAGTTCTCCATACCAACCAAAATGATATAAATGTGAACCTATAGGTCTTTACTCTTTCACGAGTTTCAAAGCAGTATGCTGGACTAGGAAGTTGGGAAGTGAAGAAGAGGGAGGGGAAGTTGTACTATTTCTCAGTCGTATTTGCAAGTTCAAGAGGCATTAAATGGAAGTGTGCTTTGTGTTGGGCAGGGTGCTCGGGCAGACCTATGTTGTCTGAATGTCCATGAAAAAATATATGTTGTTTTTCGTTTAAACAAATAAATAATTATTTGGGCATATGCTCAAAGAAAGGTTTTTGTAGTAGTGCTTACCCGGGTTAGAAAGCTTAGATCTTCCACTGTTTGACATGCAAAAGTCTACCAACTTTCTCAAAGGACTGCAATTAATGACTTCATGTACTTGCAGGCACAACCACTATACATCCACTGCCTGTGGAGGTGGAAGCAGAGGTGGTTCATAGCAATGAGAACATGTCTGATGCTGAGGATGAGGAAGGATGAACTTGTGTAATACCAGAGGTCCTGATCTTTCAAGTAAGTCACACAGTCCACTTTGTGTGTGTGTGTGTGTATACAGTCGGGATCATGTGAGAACAGCCTTTTTTTTAATGAGAATGTGCGGAGACCTCTAAGCTTTTGGATGAGTTGATTTTTTTGATCTAACAGCTACAAAAATGCATACCTTCAACTAACTTCAATTGATGGTTGATAAAAAACACCGACATTCATTAACCTTCACATTCACCTTTTTAGTCAAGTTCACAAACTTTTACATACCTTCAATCGCTTTCCCGTGCATTAATCCATTAAATTAATCATGGTGACAGCAACAGGTAAATGGAGGTAGGTAAAGATTTATGAAATGCAGGTGGATGAAGGTTTCTGTTTTCACCAAAAATTCATTCTCATGGGACCCCCCCCCCCCCCCTCTCTCTCTCTCTCTCTCTCTCTATATATATATATATATATATATATATAATCTATGATATATTGTTGTTAGTTCACTTGTTGAAGCTCGACTATATTGTACAGGCTTGTTTCCTGTTGTAGATATTTATAGAGAGACTAAATTGCTCCGGAGCTGTGGGTTGAAGAAGGTGACACAAAACTTGTTTGTACAGTTGGAGCTTCCGTGGTGTATTGCACGGAGGCTTGGGGTAGCAGCTCACTGTAGTTTCTTCTGAACTTCTTTAGTTGATGATTTAAGGCCCTATGGATTTGCAATTTCATGCTTTCTGTACGTTCTTAAAAACATTCTCGTAAGCTAATACTGTTCCGACCTAAATAAGAAAGAATATGTTATGTTGTTACACACTTTCTCTCCTTGCCTTTTCTCGTATCTCAGGCGCCATTTCCATAAATGATACTCCCTCCGTCATGAAAAAGGCACGATGCATAATTATTACCCTTTTTAAGTAACTAAATGACATTTTTACCCTTGAAACATTACAATGAAAGATTTGAGCAACAGTTTTTGACTATCGAACCCGGTTGGACATATTGGTTTTGTTTTTGACCATGGAACTTGCCTTGAAAGAATGCAGGAGGGATAGGAGTTTTTTGGTCAAAACTTGGATGTCCTCTTGATGTTTTGTTTCATCCGATTCAGAGGACTTGCAGAAATACCTCGAACGGTGCCACAATGTGTTGAACTATTTCAACAAGTTTGCTCACAAGATATTCTCCAATAAATTCTCTACCATCAAAATGGATTGTTGGTAAACGTTTTTTTACCTAATAAATGTTTATCGGGTAAGATTCTAGGTCATCGTTCATGTTCATTTGAAAGGTAAGTGACACTATAAGCACTTGATAAACGAGAATAAGATGGTGAGTGGACAGAAGTGCCCTTCACTAAAACAACAATAAAACCTAGAAGAGCGACACCATCTAACTTATTCGTAGCAAAATAACTAGAGATGTAAAAGCTGACAACTTATCAATACTGAAAACCTTAAATAAAATTATAAATTCAAGAAGTTTGTAATCTTTATGACACAAGCTTTGTCTTGTTTAGACCAAAAGGGTGGCGTCTGATGAGTTTGAGCTTGACTCCAAAGGTCAAAAGTACCTGGGGGTCACAGGTTCAAATCCAATGAGAAATAAAAATCCTCTTGTGGCCACGTAGGTTCAAATGCGGCGGTGACTCCGAGCTATAGGAAAAGTAGGTGGTCGTCTTAGGATTAGTCGGCTCGTATAGCGGGTTGGATATCCAAGTTAATTATATATATATATATATATATATATATATAAATTCATATGATATCATAGTTATGTATCGACTCAAAAATAGCGTTTGATTTGATATACGACTTCATATAAGTATCTAATTATTAATAAAGTATTAAAAATATCTTTATTAATAATATAAATTATAAGTTTAATTATTTGAGAACTTCAAAATTTGTGAGATAAATAAGAACTTTTATCTTAAAAACTTTGTCTAACATGATTTTTTCCATCTAAAAATAGTATATAATATATTGATCAACATATATATTGATATTGTTTTACAATGTGTTTGTTTCATATGTATTCGGTTTACAATTTGAAACTTTTTCACATGTATTTTTTGTTCACACACATGCCAAAAAGGTTCGCATTGTGAACCTAATATATGTGAAAGAAATACATCGTGAAACAAGTATATGTTAATCGATATTCTAAATTCTAATCTTAACTGAAAAAAAAATTCATATAAAATAACACATGATGCACTAATTCTCAAGATTATCACAATTTATTAGTGCTCAAAAGAATGTCCCTTATAGATTTTCATAATATTTTGGTGATGATTATGAATTGATTATAAATAAATAGTTAAAACAAAGTTTAAGTTCTTTTAAGATTCGCTTAATGTCTAGACAAGATATGATAAAACAGTTGTTCAGCGTTTCGTAAACAAAATTGAACATAATAGAACAAGTAAAATGACCAATTTATCCTGATGAGTTGTTTATATATTTTGATTAATTTATGTAATTTTTTAAATTATAATAAAATAATATTTTTATTATAAAATATATGATTAGAAAGTTTTTGCCAAAAAAATTAAAATGACACCAAAATAAAAAATTTATGTAGGTTTTAGTTTTAATTTTTATTTTTATCCATTTTCTACATTACTTTTTATTATTGATATATAATAAATTACATAAATAAAATAAAAATATAGAAAAAATATAAAAATATAATATTTTGAGGACAGTAAAATGAAAATTTAAAAAACATAAAATATAATAAATAAATTTAAAGATCAATAAAATATAAAAATGAGACATATTTAATGTTTTAGAAAAAAATAAAGTTTTATTTTAAGATTATAATTGGTAAATTATAATTCTGTTCCACCAAGTTTCACGAATTCAACTACGTTCCTATCTGTTCAACATAAAAAATCATGTCAAACATGAAACAAGAATCTCTAATTCTGTCATTTCCTGTCTTATCTTATCCAGTGGTCGGTGGTCGACTATCGTAGAGCTGGCGATGGACTTGGTGGACGGTGGTTGTAGAGGTGGTGGAGGATGTTGTTGTAGTGGACGAGGAGGTGGAGGTGACCGCCGGTAGTGGTGGTGGCGGCCGAAACTAGCGGTGATGATCTTAAAAAACAAATACCATATTAAGGTTATATATCAAACTAGGGTAGAATAATAATATTTTAGTTTATATCTCATTCTTATCCCATCTTGTTCCACCTATTTTGGTGGAACAAGAAAAAAAATCTTTTTTGTCTCATGCTGTCCCACCTTGTCTCAGTTCTTGTCTCTGTCTCATGTTGCGCTAAATATGGGACAGTGAGTTCTTGTTCTGTCCCATGCTGCGCCAAACATGGGACAGTGAGTTTTGTTCCGTCTTGTCCTGTCCCGTCCCATGTACCAAACACACCCTTAAAGAACTCCAGATTAAATGAGATGCCATAATATTTTGAATTCAAAAAAGGGAAAATTGCACCAAAATGGAACCAACTTTCACCTAATTCCTATTTTGGGGAACCAACTTTCAAAATCGTTATTTTGGGGAACCAACTTGCACCTGATTCCTATTTTGGGGAACCAACTTTCAAAATCGTTATTTTGGGGAACCAACTTGCACCTGATTCCTATTTTGGGGAACCAACTTTCAAAATCGTTATTTTGGGGAACCAACTTGCACCTGATTCCTATTTTGGGGAACCAATTTTCAAAATCGTCATTTTGGGAAACCAACTTGCACCTGATTCCTATTTTGGGGAACCAACTTTCAAAATCGTCATTTTGAGGAAACCAACTTGCACCTGATTCCTATTTTGGGGAACCAACTTGCAAAATAATTATAGAAAAATAACTAAAACTCGTTTTTTTTTTCCAAAAAATAATGCAATAAAATCTATATTTCATTTCGAATCTCGTTTTTTTAATTCAAATATCAAATTGAACATTTTAAAAAAATCCAAATTATCACAATAAAAATTGTTTTTTACTAATGCAAAAAAATCAATTTAATAGAAAAAAATTAATTGATACACAAAAAGTTTGATAGAGACCCCTAAATATTTATTTTTTATTGCATCAATTAATTTTTTTAAATTGATTTTTTTTCATTAGTAAAAAACAATTTTTATTGTGATAATTTTGATTTTTTTTGGAAAAAAATGTTCAATTTGATATCTGAATTATAAAAAAAAACGATATTTGAAATGAAAAATAGATTTTATTGCATTAAATTCTCTTGATTGGAATGTTTGGTGTACCAGCCCTTTAACGGCTCTTTTGTAAGTGCTAGCATCTTGCTAGCCTCGGCGGTTTCTTATTAAAATTGCTGTTTCTAAAAAAAAAGATTTTATTGCATTAATTTTTGGAAAAAAAATGAATTTTAGTTATTTTTCTATAATTATTTTGCAAGTTAGTTCCCTAAAATATGAATTAGGTGCAAGTTGGTTTCCCAAAATGACGATTTTGAAAGTTGGTTCCCTAAAATAAGAATCAGATGCAAGTTGGTTCCCCAAAATAACGATTTTGAAAGTTAATTTCCCAAAATAAGAATTAAATGAAAATTGGTTTATTTTAATATATTTTTCCCTTTTAAAAAACAGAATATATAAATAAATAAAAATAGAATTCATTGGTCCGTCCATAGATTCCATATTCGAGATTGTAGCTGGCAACGAAGATTCAATCCTGTATTGGATCTTGAAAACGTCAAAGATTCCATTTTTACATAAAATAATTAATAATTAATTTATAGAAATAAATAGAAAGTCTAGACAAGGAAATTAATTTAGGGACCGTTTACTAAACACTTACTTGGTAAGTGCTTAATGTATAAGTTTCCTCATCGGATGAACATGAGAATGCCAAGAATCTTATCAGGTAAAAGCGATGAGAAAAAATGGAGAGTATTACCCGGTAGGTGAGGATGACGGCTCTTACCCAGAAAATTATTGCATTTGATATGTTTTGATGTACTAAAATCTTACGCATCAAAATAAATGGTAGTGTTGACTTCTATTGCTAAGCGCTTACCGGGTAAACATTTGGGTAAACGGTCCCTTAGTTTGCTATTTTTGTTGAGCAGATGCATCTTTAAGGTGGATCGAAGACTTATAAAATCGTTTGATGTGTTTTAGCTGAATTTTATCGCTTTCGAGGGGTTTTGTAGGTTTTTTGTTGATTTTGAGAGATTATTTAGTTTTTTGGTCGACTTTGAGGACTTTTTCGGGTTTTTGGTCGATTTTGGAGACTATTTTGGTTTTTTTGTTGATGGAGAGTTACTTGTTTTTTTTGTTGGTATTTCTTATATTTTCAAATATCCCGAAGCACCCCTCATAGTTCAGTGGATGCACCTTTTATACCTAAAGAAAATCCTACTTACGAAAATAAGGTGAGTGGGTGCACGGAAGTTCGCTCGAGCATTATAGGTCTGCCCCTCTTAATGACACTATAATTTTTTAGAAAATGTACAGCTAAAAACCCTCTATAACTGAGTAAAATAGAAAATACCGTTATATAAATTTGATATTTTGTAAGAATCGTGAGTGTAACCCGCAAAGTGGGTGCTTCCTCTGTCGTCACCGGGGAGCTCTTGGCGAGAAGACCTTAGGATAAGTTGCTACAACAAACGGGAGGGTGGTGGTGGTGGGTATCGACCCGTTCAGTAGAATTCCGAAGCAAAGTTCTAATTTAATTATATGTATTGTATAGGGTTGAGGAGAAAAGAATGTCAAAACCAAATATTACCGATATAACATCTTTAGGTTTTAAAAAGAACGATTGTTTCTCTATAATAATAACAAAATTGGCGAGACATTAAAATTGGACCTCACAATTCTCACAAAAATGTCAAGTTTTTTTAAGAATGACGCTATATACAGTGACATATTCAAATGGGAACAAAAAAGGCTAAAAACCGTAATAATCACTAATCATATGTTATTTAATATTGTTAAAAGAATGCATATGACAGTACATTGCATTTTAAAAAATATGAAACAAACAATTATAATCAAACTGTAAAACAACACTGTATTTTTCCCATGTTTTGTTTCACAATATGAAACACAACTACTAGTTTCCATAGTTTTCAGCTTTTTTGTGGTTTCTTATCCTCTATATGTATATTTTCTAATATTAGACAAATTAGAATCCAATTGAACTGTAATTATTTCAAATAATAGGAGTATCAGGGGACGTTACCTAAATACTTAGCGATAAAAGTCAAACACTTTTTTTTAACCACAAGGGTGGTGCCTGATTGGTTTGAGCTAGCTCCAAAGGTCAAAAGTACCTAGAGGCTTCAGGTTCAAATCCAAAGAGAAATAAAAGTCCCTTTTATGGCCACGGAGGTTCAAATGCGGTAACTCCGGGCTATCTGCAAAGCAGGTGGTCGCGCTGGGATTAGTCGGCTCGAATAACAGGTTGGATATCCAGGTTAATAAAAAAAGTCAAACACTTTCACTTATATTACCGGGTAAGATTTTAATTTATTAAAACAACATCGTATGCAACAATTCATCCGGTAATTGCTAACCAAGTAAGAGTTGTCACCCTTATTTACCAGGTAAGACTCTCTATTTTTGTCATTGCTTTTACCAAGAAAAATTCTTGGTTCGTGTAATATTCATACGCTAAGATAAAGTTACAAGATAAGTGCTTACCGGTAAACATATAATAAGTGCTTAATGGTAAACATATAATAAGTGGTTCTTAGCCGGCATTAATAAAAATACAATGCTTAAAACAAAAAGTCCATTTATGTCTTTTTCTTTAAGCAAAATATACAAATATTTAGAAGTAATTATTTTGTTTCAAATTAAAGGTTTCGACATTTTGCCAAATTATTTATGTAAGGGGTTGTTTACGGTAAGCACTTACCGATAAAATTCAATACTATTATTTACTTATCGGGTAAGATTTTAGTCAGCAAAAACGGTTTTCTATGCAACAATTTATCCGGTAAGAACTGACCGTGGTAAGAGTCATTGCTCTCACTTACCGGGTAAGACTCTCAGTCCTCGCCTCGTTCTTACCGGGTAAATTTTTTGGTCCTTACCATATTCATCATGTAAATTTTTTGGTCCTTACCATATGATTTATTAACATGTTCGATTCAAAAAAAAGCGTATACCCTTATGACGTGGTTCGACTCGTCTCATCTCAAACAAAATTATCGAGCTTTCGCATGAGCTGAGTGAAACATTGATAGTACGGAACTTAACTTATCGACTCAAATCAGCTTTATTTTGTGCACGCGATTCGAACTCGAGAATTGCTAGATTCAAACTCAAGTACTTCGTTAAATTCTTGAATAGTTAACGCTTCTAGTTAAAAGCTTTTTTTTTCATTGACGGCATGATAATTTTATTCGTAATACGTTTAAGAAAATATTTCCTTTTAGTTACGCATTTTTTTGATTGTCGATATACTGTTAAAATAATCAGATAGTTGTATCACTGTTTCCACGGTTATTTTGAATCTGAATTTACTTATTTGTTATTTGTTAAAGGGGGGTGCTAATGGCACCCCTTATAGGGGGGTGTTGAATGTGTTGGAAATTGGGATCACTTTAAAATTTAGAAAACATCAAATCAATTTTAAAAATATATTATATTTAGTTTTCGAATTTTTTTATTGTATAAGTTGTTGAACTTTTTTTATGTTGATTGATTAAGTCATTACATTTTTTTGAATAGTTAAATGATTGAGCTTTTTATAAAACTGGTTACTTAAATTTTTTAGTAATATAAATATCTTTAAAATTTAAATTTTTTGAATTGGGTTGTACTACGGATAATGTTATTTTAGAATAAATGAAAATGTAATGTAAATTATGTTACGTCTTATTTATATATCCAATATCAATTTTTTATGTTTTACGTTCGATTTTTATAATTATATAATTATTTGAAAAATAGTAATGTTTATATGAGAGTAAAAATATAACAGAAAAAATGATGTATTAATAATTATATATACTTATTAATAATTTATATTAATTAAAATATAATATACACAAATAAAAAAAATGAATAATATATATTTATTAATAATATATATTTATTAATAATTTATATTAATTAAAATATAATATAAATAAATAAATAAAATATACACAAATAAAAAACAGAAAACAAAATGAATAATATATATTTATTAATAATTTATATTAATTAAAATATAATATAAATAAATAAAAAAAATGAATAATATATATTTATTAATAATATATATTTATTAATAATTTATATTAATTAAAATATAATATAAATAAATAAATAAAATATACACAAATAAAAAACAGAAAACAAAATGAATAATATATATTTATTAATAATTTATATTAATTAAAATATAATATAAATAAATAAATAAAACAGGAAATTAAATAAATAATATATATTAATTTAAATTTTCTTTAATTAATAATAAAATAAAAAGTAATCATCACAAAAAAACAAAAAAACACAAAAATTTATAAAACACAAATGATTGAAACCTACTTAGGGGTGGCATTAGCACATGATAGGGGTGCCATTAGCCACCCCCTTGTTAAAAAATGATTGAAAGTAGTATTAAAGTTAACTCAATTTGAGCAACCATCCATTAATTATATGATCATATCTATACTACCTTATAAACCAGATCTATCAAAAGTTTTAGAAACAATTTTTAATGCACAAAGTACTATACATTTATGTACAAAGTCTTAAAAGTCTTGAAAACACATTAAGTACTATTACTTTATGCATTCAGTCTTAAAATCTCTTAATCTACAATTAAAATAATATATAGTACAAGTTACAATGCACATTATTATCTTTTCTTTTCATATTTCCAAGATACTTTTGACACCTTTTACTCATGTCTTCACCCTCTCATACCTCTATGTCTTCTCCCCATCCCCCAAGGTGAGATTTAAATTGATATTCACCATGAGTTATTAAAAGTTCTTCCATTCAATTGCTCTAGAACTCTCGGTCTCGCTCTTGATCTCTTTATTCTTTGCTCTTGGTGTAAATCGAACACATTTGTGGAGTCGTTTAAATATATTGGATTTTAAACTGTCATACATTTTTTTATCGATAGACTGTAATTGGAATCATAACTCTTATTTATTCAAATTGTATTAATATGTAAAGACCAAGTGTAACTTATATCATCGTTAAATCTTCTATAATAAAACCAGTAAAACTTCAAAATCATTAAAATTCACGGCTCTCACAACATTGCGCAGGTAAGATCAGTTTATTACGTGTTTAAATCTGGATCTCAGTTTTTCCCGGTCTTTTTTAACATTTTATGTATTATTATAATGAAATAATTCAAAATTTATCTGTGTCAAATCAATGGTCGGAAGGATTTGAAAGACGAAGATGCTGCTGAAATCAAAGTAGGGTAGTGAAAAGAACTTTCATAAAAATCTCGAAGTCTTAGATTTAGAATCTAAGAAAACTGATTTTTTTCTAAACACAAGGGTAATGCCTGATTGGTTTGAACTTGACTTCAAAAGTCAAAGGTACCAGGAGGTCTCAGGTTCAAATCCAAGAATAAATAAAAATCCCCTTGTGACCATGGAGATTCGGATGCAATGACTCTAAGCTATCTACAAAACATGTGGTCGTCTTGAAATTAGTTAGCTCACGTGGCAAGTTAGATATCCAGGTTAATAAAAAAATATTAATTACATAGTTGACGAATGACTGCTAAAACAAATTTAAGTAGTTCATTAGAAAAATCAATTTATTTTATTTTTTATTTTTTATTTTTAATTATAAAAAAAGTAAACGAAGTCACATGATACTATTAACATGGATTCTTCTACTTATATGATCTCCACCCATGTACACGAGAAGTCTATTCTTCCCCTTCATTATCCGCTCCGATCGCCGATCATGGCTGCCACCGTCCTTCCATCTGCTTACCAAACGTCGGCCGCCTCGCCGGAGTGGCTAAACAAAGGCGACAACGCATGGCAGATGATCTCTGCCACCCTCGTTGGCCTCCAAAGTGTCCCCGGTCTCGTCATCCTCTACGGCAGCATCGTTAAGAAGAAATGGGCGGTGAACTCGGCGTTCATGGCGTTATACGCCTTCTCCGCCGTCATCATTTGTTGGGTCACTTGGGCCTACAAGATGTCTTTCGGCGAGAAACTCCTCCCGTTTTGGGGAAAAGCCGGCCCGGCTCTCGGCCAGAAGTTCCTCATCAAACAGGCCGCCCTCCCCGCCACCACTCACTTCCATTCCGATGGCACGGTATGTATCGTTGGATTTATAGGGTTCTAATGGATTGGTTTATAGAGTTTTTTAGTTTATAAATCGGGATTTTGATTGGTTTAGTTGGAGACGGCGATGATCACACCATTTTATCCGATGGCGTCGATGGTGTGGTTTCAATGCGTGTTCGCGGCGATCGCGTTGATCTTGTTGGCGGGATCATTGTTGGGGAGAATGAACATCAAGGCGTGGATGGCGTTTGTGCCGCTGTGGTTGACGTTTTCTTACACCGTCGGCGCTTTCAGCTTGTGGGGCGGTGGTTTCTTGTTTCAGTGGGGTGTCATGGACTATTCCGGTGGTTACGTCATTCATCTCTCATCGGGTGTCGCTGGTTTCACCGCTGCTTACTGGGTTAGTATTCATTTATACAGTTTCCCATTTTTTTGGTACGGTTTATCTAAAACTTTTGATTAGATTGTATAAATGAGATAACTGAGAATATATGTTAAAAACAAAAAGAATTAAACCTAAAATGATTAATAATCTGAAATTAGACCTAAACTATTAATGATTTGAACTTAAAACCAAGTAATAATGGTTAAACCTAAATGATTTTGGCAGTAGTTTTACACAGATCGATAAAAGACCCTAAACATATGTAAATTTGGGCTCCAAAATTTCGGGGACCCTGTTCAAAATCTCACATTTAACATGTTAAGGGACGGCCCTACATTTATATATCTTATCAGATAAAACTGGTACATAATTGAAAGAATAAACAGTTATTATATTCGAAAACTAGAATAACTGTCATGTAAAACATAAATAAAATCAAATATTTGAAAACAAATGTATAACCAGGGTTCTAAATAACTCGTTATGGCTCGTTATGCTGTCAAGGCTTGGGTTCATCGCCGCGTTAACCCCTATGGCTCAACTCTAAGGCTTGGTTTGCATTATAACGCGTTATGACGCATTACAACACATTATGACACGTTACACGCCTTATTTTGTAAGATGTGTGGTTACTTTAATATATAATTCGAGCGATAAATGATAATTATGTATGAGACCTAAGACTTAAATAAACATAAAAAGGAAACTTAAAAACTAAAACCTTAAATAGGTATATATTTACTCACATTCTCATACACGAAAACCCGAATACGAATTCTTTGAAAATTTGAGAAAAGTAGTGAGTAGAGATTCAAGAGATCTAATCTCGATTTTACACTTATTGGAATCATTTTCTATTAAGCTCTATATATTCGATATGAATGATTCTTTTTTTTTTTTAGTTTTGTTACTTTATATGAATTTAATTTGTTCGAAAAGTATCATTTAGAACACTAAAAGGGTTGTTTACCAAATTTTTTATGAAGTCTTGTATGGATAAATTTGTTTGTCCGGATAAATTTGGCTATCTGGTTAAACAGGTGTTGTTGTTTACCTTTTTTATCTGAACCAATAGTCTGTATAACATAAATGACCGATTTACCCCCCAATATTAATCATTTGAACATCAAAACCAAAAATCATAAAGAGGCCGACGATGTGGTGTCTCATATGGGAAGGAGGTGGTGGTTTAAATAAGGGGTAGGGTGTCATTTTTGTGACTGAATGAGGACAACACATCATTTCTATATGTGCGATTAAGCCATATTTTGTGCGAATAAGTCGTAAATAAACAACCCAAATGAATTGTGAGAATAAGCCAAATAGACCAATAAGCCTAATTAAGCCGCAAGTAAACAGCTCCTAACACATACAAAGGTAGGCGGGTGGTTGTGTGTGTATGTATATATATTGTGAATGTGTGTGTGCGCGTGCTACTTTAGGGTACATCTTAAAATATTGTAATCTCACCATAACTCATAAGGCTCGAGACTTGACCTTACCGTCAGACCATGTCCCATGCCATTTGGAACCTTATGTATAACCAATATTTTTTAAGGTTGTCATTGTTAATCAATGGCAATGCTACTATTTTAGTACTGTTTGAAGTATATATTACGAAAATAAGTGACTCTTATTTTATATTTTTTAAATTAAATATTAATATTTTCCATTGTTGACTTTTTGCTAAACGTCAAAGTAGCACTTAGAAGTATCTTCATGTTTCCATGATTATGGGATAACTGCATTCATCATGGTTTATTTTATGGGATACTTCCCTAAATATAAATGTTTACATTTATTTATTTATTTAAAAAAAAAGATTTAATTGCTTAAAATCAAATAGTTTACTAATTTTTTATTGATAATTTTCTAGAAATCAAATTAATACTCTTTAAATTGTTTTTTAAATTTTGAAAATATTTAAAATGTTATAAATATATATTATCAGATATTTTTATTATTAACTGTTGTTACCTGGACCAGTTTACATACATTCATACACCTTGATTAAAAGAGACTGATTAATTTGGATATCCAACCCGTTATGCTAATCAACTAATCTCAGGACGACCACTCGTTTCACGGGTAGCCTGGGCCCTGGAGTCACCGCATTTGAATCTACGTGGCCACAAAAAGATTCTTATTCTTAGATATCCAGGTTAATAAAAAAAAAGTTCGTGAATGATCGTCCTGGAATTAATCGACTTGCATAAGAAATTGGATATTCAGGTTAATAAAAAAAAAACTTATAATGAATACACACAATTGAAAATTGATTGTTAGCACATTTATTTTTATGTAAATTTAATTATTTAATTGTTACAACATATTTTCAAGTTAACCGATGTATTTTTAATATTTTATCCATAGTTTCAAATAACTCGTTATGAATTGTTGTGGTGGGTTATGGCAAAAGTTTACTTGTTAACTCATGTGGCTATATTCTAAGGCTTGACTTTTAACGTATGATGACATGGTAAAACGTGTTATGACACGTTACAACACGTTATTTTGTTGATGGGTGAATGATAATTATGTACAAGACCTAATATTTAAATAAACATAAAAAAGAAACTTAACAACTAAAAATCTAAATAGGCAAATACTTACTCTCATTCTCATACACATGGAGTCGAACACGAATTATTTGAATGTTGAAGAAAGTAGTGCGTTGATATTCAAGATATTTAATCGCGATTTTGTACCATAGATAGTATTAATACTTCTTCTCTTAACTTTAGTTTTATTACTTCATACAAAAACACTATACATATATATATATATATCTATACTATCTTATAAAGCATTTGGTTAAAACTCTTAAAAACTCTTAAACCCGTTCATCCCTATCTGATTTCATCCCATATCTGAATTCGTGTAACTAACTGCAGATAAACACAATCAAATACAGGATAAACATCTAATTTTAAATATAAAAAATCTAAAAT